TGTATATATATATATATATATATATATATATATATATATATATATATATATATATATTATATGGCGCGTGCATTTACAAACACATAAATAAGTATAAAATAAATAAATATATAAAAACGACAGAAAAGCCAGAAGGCTCCTAAATAAGTAACGAGGCGGTCAGATTCCATAAGTGCTTATGGTTCGATAATCTTTAAATCCAGTCTAACGTTTTTTATTGCAATTTTAACATCCTTACAAGGAGTTTGATGGCGGCTATTCAGATATATATTTAGTAGTATCCTACAAGAGCCAAAGTCAAAAATAGCTTCTAATCCTACTACGATTAGCATACCATCGAATGCCTTTCCCTTATTCAACGAATGCTATTCGCCGAGGATTCCTTTATTCATTCATTTACCTCCTACCCTTTTATTTGAGTAAATAAGTGGATGTGTTATGTAGTTAATGCCTTCAAGAGCCTGTGTTTTACACTGACTCAAATATGGTACAAATGCCTTTTCGCAAGCAAAGACATCAAATTTTGAAGCGAGACAAGTCGGAGTACAAGCGCGTCAGGGGTCCGGATTATCATATATTTATTGAACAATTCGAAGATGTCTGATTTATCGGTCGGCCACTCTTCCGATTCCTTGCATATGACTTCTTGTTTATTTAAAAATATTGTTGTCTCTTTCTATGTTTTAAAATATTGCTGTCATTAAGGCTTTTGTTTTTTAAAAGTTGGAGAGATTTATTACTGCTATTTGTTGCCACAGTGTTTATAGGTTGAATATACTGGCATATTTGATTCACTGGGCGTGGCAAGGATGTGTGTGTGCAAATAACACCCGTTTATCCTCTGTCAATTGAGGTGATAATGCCCAGACACATCACAGTTTAACCTGCAGCAATTAGAACCTATAAATACTCTAATAAGAAATTCGTTTATGTGCGAAGAAATAGATAAATAAAGTTGAAAAAGTAATTGAAAAAATATATATATAAAAAGTAAATGAAATAAATATGTAAATAACAATATATATATATATATATATATATATATATATATATATATATATATATACACATATACATATATATATCTATATCTATCTATCTATCTATCTATATATATATATATATATATATATATATATATATATATATATACATATATATGTATATATGTGTGTGTTTGTGTGTGTGTGGGTGTGGGTAAATAAACATACACATGTATATGCATGAATATATCTTAATTTTCATCATAATTATCTTATTTTCACTACCTCACAGATGACGTGTGCAGAATCTACCGCATGGGGTTCGTTGAGCCTACCGCTGGGATGCAACCCGTATACCGGTCGTTTACTGGTCTTGCAAATATTGCATCAGGAAAGCCAGTCACTGCTTCACTGCACTACACTACAGAGTAAGTTTCTTTTTTCTCATTCTTTGTATATAATTTTTAAAGTTGTAAAAGAAAGGTTTGAATCCGCAAAGTACTATTTTTTCTTTGTTTTCTTTGAATAATTTTAGAAGTTGTAAACGGTGGGGTATGAATGAAACTGATTTTTATAAGTGAAATTCTGACTCTCTATTTCCAGCACGTCAAATAAATTACATAAATGATTATAAGAAGCAGGAAGGTAGATATTAGATTATATTTTATTCACATGGTGGCCCCAGTTCCTTTTTTTTCCCTATCAGCATGAACTCCCTGGTATCGCGGAATAGCACTTAGATTAGAGTGATATAGCTATCCCGAGAAAAGAGCTATTTCAGGGATCACGGATTTTCGAAATTGTATATTTTTTATTTCTTTCGTTTTCTTTTTTTCTTTGTTCTCCTCTTTCGTTTTTGCTTTCTTTTTCTGTCTTATTTTTTCCCTCTCTCTTTTTTTTTCCATTCAAATTTTGTCCAGTAAATACTGCATTGTATTTCCGTTTTTTTTTTTTTTTTTTTTTTTTTTTTTGGGGGGGGGTGGAGAAGCTGCTGTCTCCAGATCAGACGTTCTTATGAATATACTACGATTTCATCCCACGTTTATTGTTACTTATCAACCACACAAGCATTTTTTCAAAGACCTGCTTCAAATCATTTTTTGCGATATTGAAAAGCTTTGATTTATTCTGATATGCCTCTGCTGGGTCAATTTGTGGTATTTTCATTATCATCATCAAGGGGCTAACGCCGACGAGCGGCACATGGCCACATCCGCCCTTCGCTTCCAGCCACGGGGGTCCCTCAAGACAAGTCTCCAGGTAGGCCCTCGGCCCATCTCTAACTCCTCGCGGTAGGTCTCGTCGGGCTGCCCAGGCCATGGCCTCTTAGGTCGTCCCACGGGCCTCCTCCACCCAGGATTGTCTCGCAGAGAGACAACCTGATGGGCAGGGTCATGCACAGGGAAACGAGCTAGGTGCCTGAGTTGGCAATCCCGGATTAAGCAAGTCTCTCGGTGTAGCCGTCGGTTGGACACACGGTCCTGCCAATTGCCAAGACACTAGATAGCATCCAGGTTTTACTTCCATAGAGCATAACTGGCAGTGCCAAGGCCTTGAAAACACGTAGCTTGGTCCTTCTGCAAAGGTACCTGTTGATCGAGTTCATTGCTCATGCTGTCAGATCAATCCATCTACTGACTTCTTGGTTTGACAGCCCAGAGATATGGATATGGACTACACTACCAAGGTATGCAAAGCTCTTTGTGACTTCAACGTCCTTATTGCAAGCATGGATTGACTGAATGGGTTTCCCTAACATGCAAGTGTACAGTCCATGCAGGTGGTGAATGAAAAGTGTTGGTGCAAGGACATAGCCTTGCCTCACCCCTGAATTAACAGGGAAGAAGTACGACAGGCGCCCACCACACTTTACAGCACTTTCAGTACCGGTGTATAGGCTTACTATTAGGCCAACAACCTGTGTTGGAGTTCCCCAAAGTCCCATAATCTCCCATAGTGATTCTTGATGCACCAAGTCGAACGCCTTCTTGAGGTCAGCGTAGACTGCTAGCATCCTACGAATGAACTCATAACAGCCATTCAACAATTACTTGAAGCGCTAGGATACAGTCTGTTGTGGACTTGAGTGAATCCAGACTGCTCTGGTACCTTAGTAGGTGGTCCAATTTAGAAAAAAAAATGTGGGCGAAAACCTTTCCTGATATACTGAGCAGTGTAATACCATGGCAGTTGCTGCAATCCCCTTTCCCCTTCCAGTGAATGATAACCATAACCTCTCGACAGGTCAGGGGGAATGGTACCAGACTGCCAGATGGAAGTCAAGACTGCATGCAAGCCCTCTGCCATAGGTTCACTCCCAGCCTTTAGCAGTTCACCAGGGATATCACATATGCCTGCTGTTCTCTCACACTTCAGCTTGGAAATCCCCATCCTAACCTTTAAGGTAGGAGGTTCCTCGCTGATGGGTGGGTCTGGCACAGGCATTGTGATACCACTTGCGTCCAAGCTAACTGTTGAAGGGTTTGCCTGGTACAACTGCTCAAAATACTCAGCCCAACATTCATAAACCCCAACATGATCTGAGATGATCCGTCCATCCATTGAGTGGACTGCAGTCATCTGCGAAGAGGATTTACAGTTCAGTTTTCTCAGGGCTTGGTAGACAGGGCCAAGGTCATTAACCAAGAAATGGCCTTCAATCTCCTCAGCAATATTCCTGATGAACTGCTCCTTGTCCCTTCTAAGCAGTGTCCGAGCCCTATGCACCAAAGAGCGACACAAGTCCTGATTGTCTTTCAGCCAAGCCATATGACATGCTTCATTGGTCTCCAGTGTCTCCAGGGAGATGTAATTCTGCCTTGCCCTCTCAGCCATATGCCAATGGACTCCTGCGTTGCATCGAGTATTTCATGGTTGAAGGACTCCCACAGAGCAACTGGGTGACTCCAGGTTTGTGTGCCCATGGGGAACCCATGGGCACATGGGTCTGTCAGTCTGTCCAATTGAAACACCCTAGAGTGGCCACTGGAGGGATGAGGAGTTTTGAAGTGGACCTGTAGGGTAGCCACTACCAGCCAATGGTCAGTGCCACAGAACTCGGCACTCAGGTAAACCCTGAAATTCTGGAGGATCCTCCATTGAGTGCTGACAAGAATGTGGTCGATCTCCTTGGCCACAGTACCCATATCGGTATACCATGTCCAGTGATGTGGGTTGGATACCAGGAGCCAGAAATCCTCATTCTCTGGGACCTATCAAAGTCCCATAGAAGGAGGCTGTTCTCACCACTGGGATCAGCTCCTGAGCCACGGGGGCCGACAGACGTAGCCAAAGATTTGGCTATAGCATCTGAAGTTGAATTATTTATTGTCTAGACCTTTGGTTCTTAGTCTTTTTTTGGCTGCGACCCCAAATCCTGGCCAGATTGACTTTTGGCAATCCTTCATAAACACCCTTACATTTAACATTCAGAATTCTAAAATTCGACAAATCGTCTATTTCTTTATGATTTCTTTAACCACAGATGTTAATAACTTAGGTATTCTATATACAGAATTGATACTTTGATAGCATTATGAGTAGGTATATTGGATAGGGAATCGTACATATCCTTTCTGACTCTTTGAATGGCTTCACGTCTTAGTAGTTAGGAACCATTGATCTAGATCTTAGTACTAAATTCTGAGTATATGACATTAAGGATCTACTGATATTGTAATATGATCTAACGTTTCATGAACTGGGTCATTGCATCTCTATCACCTTGAATACATCATCAAGTACCGAGCGATCTGGCCGTCCGCAGCATCTCTAACAATCAAACAACCAAACTCTAACAATTATTATTATTATTGTCATCATAATCATCATTATCTTTAACAATCAAACAACCAAGCACAAACCTTAACGA